GGGAGGGGGCAGGCATCCAGCCTCCAGGGCATGGCCTGGACCACCTCAGCCTTGCAACCCATATCCAGGCTCCTTTAATTTCAGGAGGCTCCACCTCCTGCAGGTGTCCTCCAGCTCCCCAGCACACTCATTTCTGTGTGTGCTTGGTCTGCATTACCTTGGCGGTCACAGTGGCCCACAAGGCACATCGGCCCAGCACCAGCATCCTCTACGGAACAACACATTTGCTCCACGGAGCTGGGTGAAGTTCACCAACCAGAGCCTGCCCTGATCTTCCCGAGAATGCTGAGCGGTGCACCTGGGGGGCGAGGCCGCCCCAAGCGCCTGGCGTGAAGTCAGGTCGGGCTACTGCTTCTCAAGCTGGTTATAACCCCAACTCCCTCCTCTCCCCACATAGACTTGATTGCATGAAATTTTCTAACATACAGAAAGAGAGTAGGGAGCTAGATGAGGTGCTGTAGACCCATCGCCCAGACTGAGGGATGTCGCTCCATCTTCTTTTTTCTATAGTATTTCAGAGTAAATGACAAACAGTGCCAGGTCACTGCTGACCACTTCAGCCTGCATCTCTGAAACATAAGGTCTTGTTGTGGGTGTAACCACAGCAATACTATTATTACACCTAACAAAATAAATACTAAATTTTCAAAATGTTTTAAACCCCATCTTGTCCTCACATCTTTGGGAGTTAGTTTGTTTAAAGGGGTGTCCATCAATGCCTAGGCATCATGTTTCAATGTTATATTTCCCAAGTCTTTAAAAATCTGAAATGTTTCTCATCTACCCATTCTTTTTCTCTTTTTTTTAAAGAAAAAATATTTATTGATGAGAGAGAGAGAGAAAGAAGGAGAGAGAGATTTTTTGTTCCACTTACTTATGCATTTATTGGTTGATTCTTATATGTGCCCTGACTGGGGATTGAACCTGCAACCTTGGTGTATCGGGATGATACTCCAACCAACTGAGCTACCTGGCCAGGGCTCCATTCTTTTTCAATAACATCGACTTGTTGATGACCAGGGTCCCACAGAGGGGCCACCTTCCAGCTTCGTCGTTACATTTCTTGTGTGTGATTTAACTCGTTCCTCAAGCCCTGCTGTTTCCTGTCAACTTGAAAGTCAGGTTGACAATCTGGATCATGCATTGTCGTGCTCTGTGCACCGAGGCCACATGCCTGGTCACCTAATGTGATGCCAAGATCTGTCACTGGGTCAAAGGGCAGCAACTAGACACGTCACTGGGAGACCATGTTCCTTCCCTTTCCGGTGGTAGCAATGCGGTCACACCCCTGTCCCATTCGTATTCGTGCCCCCCTCCCAGAGGAACAGGACCCCCCCACCACCACTCACTGTACCTTCTGGCATCTCCACCAGGCAAAGGTTTGCATTGTGAATATAAAAATATTTTCGCATCAAAAATAAATTAAATTTGATTTTCAGAAATGTAAACAGTAATATCAATTATGCTTTTTCATGGCCCCATCTCAAGATTCTGCCATATCTCGGGCGGGGTCACCAGTCTGACTCCCACACGGGACTGGGCTGCGGGGAGCCCTGCTGCTCCTGGTGCATCACACATGCAAGCTTGGCAGACCCGAACCCTGCACGGTGTGCGGGAGGCGTGGCTGGTGGCCCACTCAGGCCAACCCAGGAGTTAAAATGCCAACCAGCTACCACGCCCAGGGCTCCTGGGATCAGAGATGGAACAGAGTCCGAGCCGCCGCAACCACGGGGCAGGGAGCCAGGGCCTCGGGCGCCACTGAGGGCCACAAGATGAGGCCACCGCAGAGAAAGCCAGGGGACGCTGACGAGCCTTCGCGGGGCTGCAGGACCTGTGGCCACACCTACGACCTCTCAGCCAAGACTGGGCACATGGCATGATAATGGCACCAAAGCCTCACTGCGCCCTACACATGGTCCATCGGGGGTTATTACTATTATTTTCAAACGATAAGATAAACTTTATTTAGAAAGCCACAGAGGTAGAAGGAGTAAGCTGTAGAAGAAAATGGGTCCAGGAGACAAATGAGAGGCCAAGGAGCAGCCCCCGGAGCTTGGGAGAAGGAGGCTAAGGTGGTGCACCTGGGGGGAGGGGGCGGGGAAAGGCCCGGCTGGCTCCCAGGAGGGAGCACGCCATCTGGAGCTTTTAATTCTGATTTAGAAATGTCCTTATATGACAGTCTTACATAAGTATACAAATCCCACACCACATTTATTTATATGTTCAGTGGGTCGGCTCTACCAGGGGGAAAGTGGTAACTGTTCTAGAACGTGTGAACTTGAGCTTCTCAAAGAACCTGGACGCAGCGTCTAATGACAAAGGCAGTCACGGTGAGTGTCTCACCTGTGGTCCTCGGAAGAGCCCCTGAGGCTGGTACGACGACCCCTCGTTCACACGCAGGAATATCAGAATCTGAAGGCCTGGACGCGGAGTGGCCAGGAGCCGCAGGCCTGGACACAGAATGGCCAGGAGCCGCAGGCCTGGACGCGGAGTGGCCAGGAGCCGCAGGCGCAGGGTCACACAGCTGGCAAGGCGAGGTCAGGCCTCCCAGGTACCCGACTCTCCAGCTGGGTCTTCTGCTGCAACAGGCCACGGTCCCCACTGCGGAGCCGGAACCCCCCAACCACCTCCACACGGGCTGGTCCTGTTCCTAAGAAGACACTGAGCTGCTTTTCAGAGACAACAGACCAAAACCACAGGGTCCGCAGAGAAGCATGCACAGAGGAGAGGACTTTGACCTCCAGTGCCCCGGAACCAAACTCTGTCCCCTCCAGGGAACCAAAGGACTGGACAGACCTGAAACTTGCAAGCCAGAGCCCTTTCCGCAGGGACGCCCCCCCGCAGGGATGCCCCCCTTGTCCGGGAAGATCAGTGCTGAAGCCTCTCAGGATAAAGGGCCACATTTCAGGTCCCTCCAAAGAAAAGGTGCCCGCCAGCCAGCGCTTCCATGTACCTGCTCCCCAGGACCCCTTAAACCTGCTCTGAACCCTGCATCCCAGAGACAGGTTTGAGCGATGTCTCCCGTGAGCCTACTCAGCACTGATTAAATCGCTCTTTCTTTTCTCAAGACCATGTCACTGTTTGGGCCTCCGTGCATGCCGGGCAGCGAACCCTTGTTGGGTAACACAGCCAGGCAAGCAGAATTGAAATTGGGCATAGAAGAGGAGGTGAATATCATCAGCGCTTGTTTTCTGGATTTCCTTTGCAGAATCTGAATTCCTAGCAGGACCTAGAAGGCCCTTCGAGGGCCGGTTCCTTTTGTGTCTCTTTCCTGTTGTTCCCTATGCTTTAGACATGCTGGCTTTTCAGTCCCTTGAAGCTGTGTGTTCCTCCTACCCCAGGGCCTTTGCACACGCTGTTCCCGCAGCAGTTCACCTAGCTAGTTTCTGCTTATCCTGAAAGCTGGGCTTGCGTGGTTTCCTCAGCGAAGCCCGCCCTGACCTAGTGTCTTGGAGCGCCCTACATCTCCTGTGCTGCACCTTCACAGTTGCTTGTTCCTCAAGGGGTCAGTGTCCCCAGGCCGTGGTTCAGGGTCTGAGCCTCTGAGGTTTCTAGTTTCCACGGAAGGCTCTCGTGCGTGCGATCAGAGCTCAGGCCCCTTCCGTCCCTGGGACTTAATCTCCTTATCAGTGAGGCAAGGTCTGTAACTCTACGAGCCTGTGGTTGATTCACCTCCAGCTCTGAGGTCACAGGCTATCCAGGCGATGGGCATTCTCTTCAGCAGAAATGGTGGCCCACTCTGCCTTTCGCTGACCCTACCGCCACCTCCCCAGCGCTGCCATTCAGGACAGTCCCTACTCCATGGGACCTTCCATCCCTTTTCATTTCTGCCCTCCAATCCTCGAAGGGTTCCAGGCCTACTGCCATTGTCAGCAGTCCTTGGGGGCATGAGAGAGAAGAGGATCGTCAGCTAACAGTCTGTGAAACCAAATGTACTCCATTTAATGGGCTGCCTTCATTCTGAGGCTGTCGCCTTTAACCTTTCTATTCTTTTTCGGAATTATGGTAAAAATAAATAGGTGTGTGTTAAGTTTTTCCTTGCGGAAGTCCGAAGCCCCAACTTTTAATGGTGTGAAACTGTGGAGGTCTGAGAACTGACCTACAGGGTAAAGACCAGGTTCCTAAGGGCCAGGCCTGAAACTTTCCCAGCCAGCACCTCTCCCTCCTTCCCCTCCCCCCACTTCACACACTTCAGCGGTTTCTGCAAACACAGGGAGGCTGAGGTCTCCAGGCCATGGTGCTCTCCCTCCTGGTCTCTGTGAATAACTGCTCACACTCCAGCAAGGGGTCACCTCCAGCAAAGCTCTCTGACCAGCGCGGAATCACCTGCTCAGGTGTTCTGCCCAAGCACTAAGAGGCAACCTATCTGTCTGTTGTTACCTGCCTCATCACCTCCCTACCCCTAGCCTGGCTAGCTTGGTGCTCCTGATACACCCAGGCATCGGGTAGGTGCTCTGTTAATGTTTGTCCAATCAATGAATGAGCCACGTGTTCTGGAAGGCTCCTCCCAGGGGGCCTCCTGGGTTTGCTCTGCTCCAGGACTCCCCACCCAGATGGAACCTGAGTTAAGGGCATTACATTAAGGGGCATGATGCTAACTCCTGGCTGAGCAAACCACATGCTTCACAACTCAACTAGAATCCCCTGGCTCCCTCCCCGGGGGCTCGGCCTCTCATTCATTGTGTGACCTCCAGTCCCCCAAAGGATCCACTGAATCTAGGCACCTCCACCGATCACGACAAGGCCACGCCCCCGCGGGGTGCTGGGGTGCTCCCCTGGGGCTGTCCGTGGGCCAGGATGTGGAGGACAGGGTGGGCGCGCGGCCACAGCCGGGTGCCCCGGCCCGGGGGCGAGGCTCCGAGGCGGCGGCGGGTCCCAGCGAGGGCGGCGCGCGGCCCGGGCCGTCCCGCCTCCCGCCGGCGCTCCCGGCCTTTCCCATCCGGCCGCGACGCCCCGCCCGCCCCGTCCCACATGACGCCGCCTCCGCCGCAAACTTTTTCCTCCCCATCCTGCCCGCTCGGAAGGGATGGAAAATGGCGGCCTAGGCGCCCGGTTTCCTGCCCGACCAGCGGCGGTCCCGGCGGCCGGGGGCGCGGGGTCCGCGCGGCGCCATGACGCGCTGGGTGCCCACCAAGCGCGAGGAGAAATACGGCGTGGGTGAGCACGCGCGGCCTCCGCCCTCGCCCCACTCCGGCGCGGGCTCGGCGGGCGGGCGGGGGCCGGGGCCGGGACCCGGGGCGCAGGCGGGAGGCAGCGCGTCCGCCCGCCCGCCCGCCGGGCACTGCCCACTCCGCCCCCGGGCGCGCGCCGTCCCCGCGCCCCCGCGAGAGCCCGGGCGGGCCGGGCCGGGGGCACGCGGTGGGGGGCGGGTGGTGTCACTTCCCGGGTGTCCCCTCCGACGTCCCGTTCCCGGGGGGCACCGGTGGCGGAGCCTTCCAGCCGCCGGGCCGCCCCTGACTCGTGGGTCCGGATCTGCGCGGCCGAAACCTGCAGCTGCGCGGGGCCGGCCGGGGGCCGGGGGGCCGGGGGGCCGGGGGCCGGTCGGGGGGTCGGGGGGCCGGGGGCCGGGCATTGTTCGCCGCGCCTCTGCCTTTCGGGGACGTGAGCGTGCGCCGGGCTGCGGCTCCGCGGCGGCAGTTCAAGTTGCCGGGATCAAAGCGAACTCCTCTCCCCCGGCGGGAAGTGGCGTGCGCCACCCGGGCGGGCCGATCGCGCCGCCGCCTGCCGCTGGGTGGCCCTGTCCCGGACCGCGCGGGACCCTCGCGGAGACGCGGCCCAGCGCTCGGGGTCCCTGGGCCCGGGGGCGCGGGCAGGGAGGGCGGGACCTGTTTTGGCGGCGGGACTGCTCTTTGTCATGTCCCGAGGAGAGTAGGGGGAGTTGGCTGCAAGTTTACGTTTCGGACCCCGGCACACATTCCAGAGAGCGTGGCCTGCCTTAGTGGCAGAACAAACACAGCAGCGCCCGTCTGCTGGCCGGCCCTCCCAGGGGATTTGCAGCCGGCCAGCCCCGGCTCCTGCCTTCTCTGACTTGCCCGCCGGTCTCCAGGCTGGGCAGGCTGCTCCCTGGTCTCCTGTCTCCCCTGCAGGTTTTCAGTCTCACTCTCGTCCGCCCTGTTAGGCGACCCCAAGAACTCTGAGGCTGCCTCTGCCTGACTTGTGACCTTGCCTGCCCCCCATGTCCTCCTCAGGTTCCTTGTCCTCAGCCCCTGCTCCCAGTGTCTTGCCCACACCCACTGCTGGTGGGCTGGTTCTGACCCCCTGACCTTAGGAAGCCTTCAGGCCTCTCCTTTCTGTGACCCCAGGTGCTTACCTCTCCTGGGTGTCAGGGACATACAATGGGACTGGCAGGGCAGTGGCTTGGGGACAGTCCTGAGGCACGCCTGGCGTGTTCCACAGGTGGAGCTGGGGGCCTCCTCACTTCAGGACCGTTGTGGCTGAGTGCCTTGCCCAAGCCCGTTGTAGAGCCGGGAAACTGAGGCTCGGGCAGGTGCACAAAGGTCCACAGCAGAGGTGGGTGTCCTGACTCCGGGAGCCGAGGGAGTGAGCAGCAGCCTGTGCGGATCCCAGTGGGTGCAGTGAGGCACCTCCTGATAGAACTGTCCCCAGGGGTCTGCATCTGATGAGGCAGGTTTTGGACAGAGATTCCGTCTGGGACAGTGACAGCCATGGGTGTGGCTGCCAGGAACCTGCTGGGGTGATGCCTGTGAGGAGAGAGAGAGCTGGGTGCAAACCCACTGGGAACAGAGCGGTGGGAGGGAGGAGCTGGGGCGCCAGGACAGGCAGGAGGCCAGCGGAGACCAGGTCTGCCTGCCCCGCTGAGGAGGCAGGGAGGGTGCAGGGAGCAGCCCTCGCCTGAGCCCAGGGTTTGCCCTCAGTCCTGTGCTGTGGGAATTGTGTCACTTCAGTGCACAGAGGCTCACCCACTCTCACGCCACGACTAATTGCTACATTCTGGATTTGAACCCTGGCCTTGACTCCAGAGCTCAGGCATGTCCTCCGTGTGCTTGTCAGCCAGGAGCTGGGGGAGGGCCTTCACTTTGGGGCGCTGCATTTTCAGACACGATGCCCTTCATTGGCACTCAGGGTGGCCTGGACGGTGCCGGTGAGGACACCGTCTGTGTTGACGCTTGTAGCTGGGCTGACCTGTCCACCCGCTCAAAGGGAAGGTCTAGGCGGAGGGCAGGGTCTCCTCACTGGCGAGGCAGCTGTGGGTGACAACAGAGCCGTGTCCCTCTGCCTTAAGTCTCACACCTCCCAGAAGTTTCACTGCCGCTCACTGTGGTGACTTCTAACATTGCAGCTTTGGCTGATACTTTGGTTTTAAGAAAACTGTGTTGGAAAATTTCCAAAGCTCAGTATGGATGTTTCTTTCCGGACAATTCTAGGAAGGGTGTGCGAAGCTCTGGGAGGAGGAGTGGACTGTTCCGCTCAGTGCACCAGGTGGGGATGATGCCGCTCACCTGCCCGGAAGCCAGCAGGACTCTGCAGCTTTAAATACCTGAGGCCCCTGTCAGGGAGGACCCAGGCCTGAACTCCCGCCTTTGTGCAGATGCAGGGAGGAGGGTGGGGTGTTGCGCTAGGAGGGTTCCTCCGGTTCCCCAGAAGGGTGCTGTCTGGGGAGAGGTCAGGCCTGGATGCCCATTAGCTTACTGGCTGTTTCAGCCTAAGGGAAAATTACTGGGCACCTCCCTCACCAACCACAGTAGGGCTGTGTGGGCCTAGAGGGGCCCTGGGGAGTCTGAGCGTGGGCCCCGCTTCCACCCTGGCCACTGGCTTGGCCGATGAATGAATCACGAGGGGAAAGAAAATGATAAAACTCCATCTCATTTGGAAACATGAATCACAGCTCATTGTTTGCAAGTGCTGGGATCTGTTAGAGGTGTCGTCCGTGGATGAAACACTTCAGTTACTTAGTTGTTTTGTAAAATCGGGAAGGAGTAAGGAGCTGAGCAGTTGCTTCCTCAGCCATGGCAGGAAATGCAGCCCCTCCCCCCGCCCCGCCTCCCACCCCAAGCCACTCCCCATCATTCCAGTGGGGTTGCCTGTGAGAGTTACCAGCCTTCGAATTCCCCCTGGACTTGAGTTTGGAGGGTCATTCACAGATCTGGCTTATTAGCACAGGCGGGGTTTGACCCAGCTGTTACTGAGGGGCTGGGCCAGATGAACTTTTCCATCACCCTTCCCACCCCCAGGTAGGCAAGGTCTTCTGTCCCAACACCAATAGAATTGTGTTCCTAGGGCCCGGCCATTGTGGCTCAGCGGTTGAGTGTCGACCCGTGCACTAAGAGGTCGCCAGTTCAGTTCCGGGTCAGGGCACATGCCCAGGTTGTGGGCCCAGTCCCCAGTGTGGGGCATGCAGGCGGTGGCCAGTCGATGTCCTCTCTCATTGATGTTTCTATCTCTTTCTCTCCCTTTCCCTCTAAAATCAATAAAGAAAGAAAGAGGGGGAAAAAAAGGAAAGTAGGCATAATTTAAGAAAAAAATTGTGTCTGGCTGGTGTGGCTCAGAGGCCAAGCATTGACCCGTGCACCAAAAGGTCATTGGTTCGATTCCCTGTCAAGACACATGCCCAGGTTGTGGGCCAAATCCCCAGTGCTGGGCATGCAGGAGGCAGCCAGTCAGTGTTCTCTCATTGATGTTTCTCTCTCTCTCTCCCTGTCTCTTCCTCTCTCTCTAAAATCAATGAAGGAAAAAAATTTAAAAAAAGAAAATTGTGTTCCTAGGGATCAGGTTCCTAAGGCTGGGTGAAAAGGGGCAGCACGTTCTCCAGTCACACTTGCGGCTGGTGTGTGGGGCAGCATCCCCCCAGATGCCCGTGCCCTGATCCTCAGAGCCTGGAACACAGCGTGTGACATGCAGAGGGACGGTGCAGATATGATAAAGGTTGCGGACCTGCGATGTGGCGGTGATGCCGCGTTATTCACATGGGCCCCGCTAGCAGAGGACTTCCTCTCTCTGCTCACAGACGGACTCGGAAGGAAGATGCAGGCCCCTCGGACAGATTCTGAGCCTGGGAGGGGCTGGAGGCATAGTTGCTGGCCCTGAGATTTAGGGGCTCGCTTGCAAGGACCAGAGAGAGGCCCCTAGGAGCGAAGGCAGCCCCCAGCCGCCAGCCAGCAAGGAAGTGGGGACATCAGTGCTACAGTCACAGCTGGATTCTGCTGGAAGCAGATTCATCCCAGAGCCTCCCATAGGGGCCCAGCCTGCTGACCCCTTGACTGAGACCCGGCGCCACTGGTGTCTGGGAGACCTGACGTCACACACGTGGGTGGTTTAAGCTGCTCTGGTGTGGTAGTTTGTTGTTGCAGCGACAGAAAACCGACAGGTGTGTGGAGAGCAGCGTGGCAAGGAGTAAGTCTTTCTCTAGCCTGGAGCTTGGTCCCGAAGCCGACCGAACAGCTTCGAACCGAGTGTGACTCTCCCCTCTGGCCTCTTCCACGCAGAGCTGTCCAGGGGGCACACAGACACCTGAACTCCTGGCTCGCATTCATGACGTGACCCTTGAACAATGACTCCTGCCTTCTTAGCCTCAGTTTCCTCATCTGGAAAGTGGAGCTAAGCCTGCCCACTGCAGAAACCAGCGAGGATGCATGGAGGTGATGCTGGCAGACCACGGAGCACCCTGCTGGAGATAAACCAGGCACTCCACGGGGTGTTGCTTTATTAATTTTTTATTGACTAAAGCAGGGCTTAGAAATGTAGTGACAAGTGATTTCCTGTTTGGATTTAAGTCACGAGCTGAAAGTGCTTTTTTTTCTTTTTTTGATCCTCACCCGAGGATATTTTAATCTTCATATAGAGCTGGAGGGAGAGAGAGGAAGAGAGAAAGAGGAGAGAGAGAGAGAGAGAGAGAGAGAGAGAGAGAGAGAGAGAGAGAAAGAAACATTGATGCGAGAGAGAGACACATCGACTGGTTGCCTCCTGCACGACCCCAACCAGGGCCAGGGACGAACCGCAACTGAGGTACGTGCCCTTGACCAGAATCAAACCCGGGACTCTTTGGTCCGTGGGCGACACTCTTACCACTGAGCCATACAGGCCAGGGATGAAAGAGTGGTTTACTGAAAGGTTAATTTCTTAGTGGGGTGCTTTGCCCCTGTGTTTGGGGCTGGTGACACTTGCCGGGTGTGGGGGAGCATCCGTGAGCGGGTTCAGGT